CGAGCGCCGACCGAAGGGAGGCGTGAGCATTGTCTTCAATTTAAAAATCACGAAAGCGCGTTCAGTAGCGCAAATCCAGGTTATTAAAGTCAAGGGACCGAGCGAGTGTAGACGAGCGTTACCTTGTCACTCATCTCGTTGAATATTTTCTCTCTCCTGTAAAACAGAATTTCTATTTTTATCTTTGGTGGTTTTGATTGGCTTATCCATGGAATATCTATCAGCCATTTTTCCGTTCTGTTTGTTGCTTATTTTATTTTTTCATTAAGCTAATGTAAAGAAGTTTGACAGTGTTTATACATTACACATTTTCTAATAAGATTGTCCAATAAGTCCTTGTTTACTTGCATGGGAAGAAGAAATCCGATTTGTCTTATCAGTGAAACGGCGATGGTTTTTCCCTATTCGCTTCGGCTGCAACTCTACAGACAATGACTGATGAAACTTCACCAACGTCGGCCAAAAGGACAGTACAACCTGCGGCAGTAAAAATCGAGAATGTCACTCGTCGAACTGAGCCAGGATTTATAGACGGTGTAACGGCACCATTTCGAGGATTAATATTCATCCTTGGTACGCCTGCTTCTTGGCCACTAGCAGCCGTGCCTGCTATTGTATTTTTATTGTTATTTTTGCTATTTGGTGGTCTTGGAATTTGGTTAATACACGCGAAAACTGCTCACTGGGTTGTCCATACATCGAAATGGGTCGTTATTGGTACGTGGTTAATGCGTATATTATTCGACATTGCTGCTGTATTAATAGCTGCTGTTCTTGCACTGACGATTGCTCAACCAGTTAGTTCTCCAGCTCTCGAAAGTCTCGTTCGCATGCAAGAAAGAGCACTAAATTATCCGAATAAACCAGAAGAACCAATCATCACTAGTATTCTACGTTCCGTTCGTGTCAGTATCGTCTCAATAATAGCAACAATTATCATTTTTATAATTTTAACAATAATAGAGATTGTTGCACCACCTGCCGTCGTTATTACTACGCCGCTTAAATTTATTACAACGGGTATTATTCTTGCATGGGACATTATCGACTATCCTTTGTCTCTACGCTACACGGGTGTTATAGAGCGTACATTATGGTTTCGACAACATATGCCTGCGTCCATTGGTTTCGGATTAGCAATTGAAGCCATTTTTTTGATACCCGGAGCTTGTATATTATTATTACCAGCGGGAGTTGCAGGAGCCACTTGGCTTGTGGTGGAAATTGAAATTGTAGAGGTAGAAGATCCACTACTAAACGCTTGAGTGTTGATTTGATTAAAATCACTTATCTTCTTCAAGAGCAGGTCGATAACATATTTATTATTTATACATCTACTATTTTGTATTTTATAATGTAAATAATATTCGAACTGTTTGTCAGATTGTTTTCCTATATTCCATTTTGTTCACGTCTTGCTTTGATTTTTTCAATCGTCAAAAATCAAAATCTACCAATAAAGATCTAAATATATTATATCGTATGGATAATCATCTTGTAGACACCGAAGAGTTTAACTCATAATATTATATGGGCAACAGTTGAATACACTCGACAAAAACTCGAAAATTATACGTTAAATCCCCGACCCCGGCAAAAAGCACCAATGGATGTACCGGAGGAATAGCAAAGACCGCTTGTAATTATTATATAATGCTTATTACGTTTGAATTAGGACTGTCAGATTGGATAACTCATAAAAGTGATTAAAGAAATTGTCATAGCAATTTCTTAGTACATCGCGCATGGCAGTCCTGGTTTGCACAGCTACAGAAAAGATACCTTTGATTGTTCTATTACGACATCGTTCACAGCAGTTATCTACATCACAATTATTTTACTTTTGCTTATATTTTTACAGGTTTTTTAAGACTTTGAGTTAAAAACAAAGATTTTCTTTTCCTGATCTGAAAAACAGAATAGATTTCAGATCTTCAAAGTGGAATTTTTACTTTGCTTCTATGTAATTTACTAATCACCAGAAAAGCTGGCCCGCTGCTCCTCTTTTCAGACAGATTTACAATTTCAAACAGAAACACTGTGTGATCAGCATTTTGCGTTCACCTTAAACCTGCTGTTCCAATGAATCCTGTATATACAGCAGATTTCACACAAAAATGATAACATTAGACTTGAGCTATGGATAACTTCTATTCATATTTCCTGTTTTAATATTCCATTTCGATAAAAAACAGTTTAAGTGGCAGAACACGCTTCTTTATTTTAGATGATTTTATGTGAAAAATATTTGTAAATATGGTGGAACGCGTCCGTTCTTATGCCTAAACGTACGTCAGTAACGACCACGTTGCAACCACCACAACAACAACAACAATTGCGCAAAAATGCTGCTAATGCGTCATTATCACTGCCATCGAATGCTGTTCATCAGACAACATCATCAGCTAACGAACGATCCTGTGTAGCATATGAATGTGAGCAACATGCTGTGGCTAATTTACCATTTAATTGGCAAGTAAGTACAAATAAAAAAAGCTTTTTCCTTATTCTGTTATACTTGTTTGTTTAGTCATTAAAAGCATCATTACACGATCGAATAAGTACACTATGTTTAAACGAATACATGTCAGATGTCCATTTTATAGTGGGATGTTCTACAATATTGCTGCCAAATCAAATTGAACGAATACCGGCCCATAAACTTATTTTATGTGTAGGTAGTTGTGTTTTTGAAGCAATGTTTAACCGACCCTTAACATTAAACAATGACCAGGCTACTGACAATAATGATAAAATCGAAGTGTCAGATGTAGAGCCAAGTGCATTTAAAAATTTGTTAAGATTTTTATATTCTGATCAAGTTTCATTAAATGATGATAATATTATGGTATGTTTTGGTCGCAGGAAAAAACACGGTTTATAATTGTCTTTGTTTTGTTGTTTATTTTAGACAACACTATATGCAGCAAAAAAGTATTGTGTACTCGGACTGGAGCGATTTTGTGTTGATTTTTTAAAAAAGAATATAAGTTTAGAAAATGCGCTAATATTATTGATTCAAGCTCGTATGTTCGATGAACCACAACTAGCAGCACAATGTTTAGATGTTATCGATAAAAATGCTAGCGATGCACTGACAGCATCAGAATTTTATTATCTTGATTTAGATACATTATGTGCGATATTAAAACGTGATACACTTGGAATAAGAGAAATCAAATTATACAATTCTGTAATTCAATGGGCAAAACATCAGTGTTCAAAAAATAAATTAGAGTCAACAACGGAAAATATTCGAAATACGTTAGGACAAGGATTAAAATTAATTCGATTCCCACTCATGTCACAAGAAGAATTTGCTAGCGGACCAGCTCAATCTGGAATATTAAATGGTAAGGACAAACATGATTCTGAGAGATTGTTTGCTAAACAGCTACAAGCAGTGTTTTATTTAGGTTTCGTTTTTCGAGTGGGCGGTTAAAAGTTTTGGAGGGACTGTTGGCTAAGAGAATTTTTGCTAAAACTAAATCAACTGTTTATTTTCGGATGGGCGAATCGAAATTTTGGGTGGGCGGCGCCCATCCACCCACTAGATAAATCACTGGATGCAAGGATAAATTTTTTAAATAAAACTGCTTTGTTCAATAAATATCAGCAGCATGACGTATCCAAGGATATCATTCAGATATTTTCTCTTTTAGATAAAGAAATAATTCAAATATTTTTATACTATAATTTACCCGACGGCTTTAAAATTGATTTTGACGATGAACCACGAAATACTGGAAAAGAATATTCAATTAATCGTTTCTGTGAAGTTGAAAATCGATGGTCCTACTCAGGAACTAGCGATCGTATTCGATTTAAAGTTGATAGACGAATATCCATTGCTGGTTTTGGCCTTTATGGAAGCATTCGAGAACCATATGAATACGAAGTGAATCTTCAGGTACAAAAAACTAACATTGTTTATTATTATTATCATTGGTTTTGTTTTAGTTGCTAAATTCAGAAAGTGGAATTATTATTGGTCAAAATGAAAGTGTGTTCATGTCAGACGGTTCAACGTCAACATTTCGAGTTTTATTTAAAGAACCATTAGAAATTCAGCCACACGAATATTATGTGGCTAGTGCAAAACTGAAAGTGAGTGTAACATTTGATGAGAAAGAATTGTTTGTGACTGGAAGAGAAAGTCTATTTCTCGTTCATTTTAGGGTCCTGATTCGTTTTACGGTATAAATGGTCTTCGAAAGATTACACATGAATGTAGTACAGATGGTAAAGTAACATTTCATTTTGCCTATGCATCGGGTGAAAATAATGGCTCAAATATCGATGATGGACAGATTCCAGAAATTATTTTTTGTTTATGAATGATAGATAACTGTTAATAATAATTTTGAAATAAATCTTCGTTACCATTCCTTCTTACTTTTTCTTATTCCGTTTTTATATATATTTTTATTCTATTCGATGAAGTTTTGCTTTTTACACATCTTTTGTATACAATCATAGCAACTATACAATAAGTTGACTATTGTTTGTGAATAACAAGACTATGTAAATATTTGGTATTTTTAACTTATTGCAAATTCCAAACAGTGTGTCTATGTGTTTGTGTGTATATGTTGGATTATTCTCTAATTCGTATACTGAGTGTGAATGCAGTCTCACAGTTATTTATATTCACTTGGTTTTGTTTTTTATTTTAAACTTGTTTTATTTTTTTTAGTACAGAAAAAAACTGAATGTTTGTTTGTTACTTTCTCTTTGTTATTCATCGAAAAATATAGATTAATTGCAGAAATACTGAATTACATATTCATAATTTTCTCATACTACGGTTACACTTTACTTTGCTTGTAAAGGAATTAACTTGAGGTTTATTAGGGCCTAGTACTACTGACTGACATAAAAGCGGATCTTATGAAAGAATTTGCCCGTCAGATGTCAAGTGTCTTCTAATTTCAAACACTATACTTTCTGAAATACGATACATTTCTTGTTTGTTTGTTTGTGTTTTAGATCACACCTTAGAATTTTCTTCTTCCATTATATTTGTTAATTAATCATTATTATCAGTAAGCGACAGAAATGAACAGGTTTTGGTTTTAAAACTTCGTCAACGATTTCCTGAATATTTTTTTTCGAATGCCAGAAGTTATCTGTTTTAGACCATCACCAAAATACTAAGAAACTTAATGCTTAAACAATTGAAAATTCTTTTCAACCAAAATTTTAAAGATGTAACTGTACTATCAGTTATTTTTGCTCAAAGTTGTCGTTCCTTCAACAATTCAGTCAATTGCTCGAAAAAGTCTATTTTATTCTATAGACATGTTATAATCAGCATGATAATTCCTATCTTCTTTCACTTTTTCCAGTGGCAGATGATTTTTGCACAAGGTCAACCTTGTCTATCATTGGCAAGTAACCGACATATTTTTTTTGTTAAACATCGCACGGATCAATTTGCAGATCCACATTATTCTGTACTTGTCTTTATCATTTTAGATAAACGTTATCTGATTGCCTTCTGTCCAATACTCATGGCTGAATTTAGCATCGATAATACACGATGGTATAAAACTGCACGTAAAATTGACGATGAAGAAATAGCTATTGTTCAAAGTTTATGTACAAAACATTTGAATAGTCCCAAAACCATTGCTGATTGTATTCGAAATTCGCCAAATCGTTTTGGTGATATATCAAATTATTATTCCACTATCAATGAAAAAAGTAGAAAACGACGTGTATCAAGTTGTCTCAGAAAAATTGCTGTAGAGTAAGTTGTTTTAATAAAAACAGCAGAGATCAGAGACTATTTGTTTTAATTTGAATTTGTTTTGTAGTACAGCAGCAAGAGAATGTGCTAACACTGAAAGCACTTTTTTTCAAGTAAAAGTGAGCATCCTGACTCATATTTGTATGAAGGATGTAATGATTCTTGGTTTTTTTAAGACTTCGATCATTTCAACCTCATTGTCATCAACATCATCTAATTTACAATATTTTCAAAAGAATAAAATAATCTCCTCTCTCCTTGAATGTTCACAATTTTCTATTGCATTACGTCTCGTTGAATCATTTCTCGCTAATCCCTATTTACGTTGTTATTATTCCTACATGTGTATACCTCATTTACGTGGAGAAAATATTTTTGATCTATATAAAGCTGAAAAATACGTGCATGATGTTCAACTTTATTTCCACAAGCTTATACCTGAATTAACATTCGATATTGATTTATTACCAGCACAAACCTATTCAATATTTTGTGGTGATGACTATTCAACAACAGCTAATTTTGATCGTATTATCTTCGATCAATCATTTATTCAAGAATTATTGACACCAACGTCATCATCATCAAATATCCAACAACAAGAACAAAAATATTATATGGAATTATTCTTCATCTTTGTCAGACTTTTACATGAATTAGCAAATGCGGCCATATTTCATTGTGGAAGATTATTTTTGTCAGATATTAAAAATAGACAACGTCGATTTTTGGGTCAGTGTAGTGCGCATAGTATTGACGACTGATGTGCTTTCAGAATAAATTGTTATCGGATTCAAAATAGAATGTACTCGGTTGTTTCTGAAGCAGAGCTTGAACAGCGAGAGATACAAACCTATGGTTTTTGCTAATCAGTCGAAGACGCCGAAGTTCATCCTTTCGTAAGCACAATAGGGTTCAAAATCCTTTTCGAAAGTGGAGATTTGAGAAAAGTTAAGAAACTAGTCTTGTTCTCCAAAAATTAAAGTGGTGTCTATGTACGATATATAGACTATTCTATATTCTATTGATGACAAATCTATAACAACATCTTATAAATCCTTATGGTTTTATGAGAACAGCTAGGTAACTCTAATTTCATAAAACTCGGCTTTTTAAAAAACACTTTTTTTCAAAAATAAAGATTTCCTATTGATTGGGTGTGATCAATTACTTTAAGTCGGCCAGTACCACTCTTGAGATCCTGAGAAATCTAATGTTACACCTGAATCACCGAAAGTGAAGTTCCCGTTTGGCTTCTACTTTGAATAGTGCATTGTAGGCTATCGATTCATGTAAGAAAACTATAGTGGTACTCTGGATTTTCACGGCTCTTCTCACACTTCTACTTTCAAAAAGGATTTTGAACTGTGTTCTACTTACGAAAAGACATGCTTCGATCTCTACAGATTCGTCTCTTTTTGTTGAAACTATTTAAAAAACAATCAGATGCATTCAGTTCTGTTTTGAATTCGATAAAAGCATTTAATTAATATCTCAATGTTTTCCTGCGAACGAACCATAATTGTGCATACTTGTACGATATAATTTTGTCCTTTTAGCTCCCAAAACGCAAGCATTATGTTCAAATGCCGGTTTAGCGATCGAACGCTTTTTATTTGGTTCAAGTATTTCTGTTATATGGAATAATGGAATTGAAAATGTGATATTGAACGATGGCCAACCAGCTATTATTGATCCAGCATGGATTTATGAATTTGTTAATACTGAACGTATAAAAATGATAAAAACAATTGGAAATGTAGCGTATAAGTATCCATCGAATTTACAATTACATCAGCAAAAATGGAAACAGGTTTTAACTAGGATGCCAACAATTGGAAATGTATTCAAACGAATGAAGGATCTAAATAATAGCGATGAATGCCAGCGTGAAACAGGCGATAGTTCCGATTGTGAAATATGTGAGACTATAACAAAAGAAGATCAGTATTAAAGAGTAGTTTTATTTTAATTATGATATCGAAACATAAAACAATTTTTTTCTTTTTTCTTTTGTTCAGAATCAGAATTACATTGATGAAAATGAGAATTAACTAACAGTATTTATTCTGTTGTCAGATTTACTTTTTCCTAGTCGATGGCTACAATAGCCCTGCTCATATCATGTGTCATTATTCAGGTTCTTTATGTTAGTATAGTATTTCGACGATAAAATGTGCACCGGTGGCACAGAAAACGGTTGTGTATAGATCAGATATTTTTTTCATTTTTTTTATGCTTGTTTTTTCTTGCGTTTTTGTTTGGTAAAAAACAGAATTGAAAATCAAATAAACGTTGCAGAATGATCTATCTCTTTCATATGATTAACTTCATATTTTCGTGTTTTTCTTTACATTACTTTTAGCAAATTGTGATGAATTCACAAGAAACGTGTCCGATTTGTTGAAATATTTGAATGCTGTTTGTTTGATTTTTTAAATTTTAGATTTAACATCAGTTTTCAATGAGTACATTTGAAGATTTACGAACAGGTAGTTTTTATTTCTTTTGATATTGCGTCTATCCATTGAACTTAACTTACTAAAGCCCAATGTCTATTCAAATGGACATCGGCATTATCATTATAACAAACTGAGGAAGCATTGTTTAAAAAACTCATCTTACATCGGCTGTAGAGAATTAAATTGGCTATCAAATGGTAAAAAGTATTTTATGTTGTAAATTTGGTAAAAATTTAAAAAAGAGAAATTTAGTTTGTTGAGGTGCTTTAGAAAACCCTTTTTATTCAACAACTTTTCAAAAATATGTAGGGAGGTGTGGACTTTCAAATTATCGGGATGCGGACAAGCACCCTCGATAGAGCTACGGGCTAGGCAAAGAACTAGAGGACAAAAAAAATTTGCCCGCGCAAACCTCTCCTGTAGGCTGCTGATGGTACAAAACGAAAGGTCATATTTACCGGGATTTTGGGCTCGTTCTCTCCACCATCTATGCTCATTTTCTGTCTCAACTTCCTCAAATTTAATGGTCTAAACCTAGATATGTTTGGTCTTTAGTTTCTAACGAGGATTTTAGAAAAAATAATTTTTTTCAAATTTTGATTTTAAATTTGAATTATAAAAACTTAACTTTTTTAAAAATGAAAAATAATTTTTTTATAGCATGAGAAAGTTATGTTGAGGTGTTATATGTTCTATTTTCATAACAGTTGATTCAAAACCACGAACTAAAACCGTGGGGGCTTAAAGGGTTAATATCCATCTGCTACTGTTTTAGTTGTGAAAAAGTCATTAGAAAGTAACGGTTCCTTAGCTGAACTACGTGCCAAATTGCGTTCAGATATATTTCAAACGCTTCAAGATCCAAATGACGTTAAACCAAAATTACCCAATGAAAATCTTCTTTTAAATGAATTAATATTAGAATATTTTAAATATAATAATTGGAACTGTGCAGCATCGGTTTTGACTGCTGGTAAGTAAGAAATATATTTATCTGTTCAACTCGTCTATTGTTTTGCGTGTAGAAAGCGGCCAACCGACTACATCATTGGGTCGAACATTTGTTGCTGAACAACTGAACGTTTTTGATGATGAAAAAATGCAGCGAGTGTAAGTGCTTTTTTTGTTAATGTTAAAATATTATTTTATTAAAATATATTTTTTTCAGACCCTTACTATACTCCATGTTGACACATTTTATGTCAAATAGCAAAAATACAAATTGGACGCCACACTCTCAATCAAAATAGTTTACAATTATTTGTGAATTTTTTTTTTCCAGTAGAATAGATCTAGAGAATGTTTACATGATAATTTTTTTTTGTAAATATGCGGGTCACTTTTTTAATAAACGTTTGAATGTAAAATATGACAAGTTCTTTTAGCTGAATGAAACCAGAAAACAATAGATTTCATGAAGCTAATCGAATTAAATACTACAAAGTATTAGTGAAATGTGTATGGAGATTTTCTTCATAATACCTTGTGTTTCAGTGACGACGTTATTGGGGAAAGAGCAATCAACAACAAAGACATCTGAAGTTTACAAATACAGAACTTTGCATTCAAAGAATACTATTATAAAAACTCGCCTAAACTAATAAAAAAACGGAATAATGAAACTGTCAATAAACATGAGCGACAGTACTTTTCTTCAAAAAGCAATTTTCACAAAGTATGGCTTTCTTCTAAAAGTTTATAGATCACACTATAGAGTGTGAAGCAAAAGCTATAGCTTTTGTTTGGTATGTTTGAGTTTCCTCGAAAGTGAAAATATCGAAAGCTGAAAATGGAATTATCTCTGATTAATAAGGGTTTATTTTTATTACTTTTCAAAAAGGTGATAGGAACTGACGATATATTCAATATGTAGAGAGAGATATTTTTGTATTACGATTGACGTGATGAAAAGAGTATGAAGACAGCCGTATCCCTGGTGCTTTAATTTTACTATTTTTTTCCAGAAATATTCATCGTCGGATACATGTGAGCATGACGAGAGATAAATACCGTACAATACCGACGACATATTCAGTGTAAGAGAGTTCTTCTATTACACTTGGGTGTAATAAAGATATACAATAAATGATCATATTTTTCTTTTTGTACTAGTTTTTAGTTATAAAACGCATATTATTAAACGCATAATAAACATAATTACAACAGGAAATGTACATCATTAGGATAAAGTGTTAACCTATTTGTCAAAACTTTGAATTTTCGATACTTTTTCCCTTCGGTATTTCTCCTATTGATATTTATCCATTCAAGATTTTAGTTTTCGAGTAAACTCAATACATTCTTTTGTTTTCCCTCTATGCATTTAACTGGCATAAGCAGAAAGAGCGTGAGAAACTGTAAGTAGCGTTATGATGCGCTGATAAAAGTGACTGTAAAACAGAAACTGAATAGTATAGACCTAATAATTCAATAAGTAAAGGAACCATCAAATAAAAAAATCTTAAAATCAATCAGTGTAAACATTGTACAGTACAATTTGTACTGTTTTATGCCGATCAGAACTGCTTGGCATCGGGGTATGATCTTTTCTAATCATCAGTGACAACATAATATCTTGGGTTCGGTGTAAAGATGAAAAATTTAAACATTTAAGAAGCCATGGCTGATTTTACGGCTTTTCCGCGTCAAAATGGATTTTTCTTATATGCCATTTTTACCGCGAGGTTATCTCTTCGCGAAACACCAAAACTGACGTTTTGCTAGTTCTTGAACAGACAGCTTTATCCCGTTCTCACAAAAGTTTGATAATAATAAAAATGCATGACTATCCTAATTAAATCAGACAGAATTGAGCGAAAGTTGTAAACTATACAAACTTGAAACGGCTGCCGTTCTCTCGCCGCTTAATAGTTAAAAATGAAAACAGTCTACTGCAGCGCGAAGTTTCGTCCAGAAATTCCTAAAAACGATGTTAATATTGAACGAATTTTCTGAAAGTTTTAGACTGCTGGTGAAAAATGCTTTGTAAAAAATGCTAAAAAATGCGGTTTTAGATTGCTGGTGAAAAATGCTTTTCTTATCACCTGAAGACCTCGACAGGAAATGATCTTTTTCGGATTTCATCGCTGCCCACCGTCAATAGTCATTCAAAACAGCTACGAGACACGAGACATGCTTACATAATTGTCGAATCCTTTATTATATAACATACTACCTACGAAGTTATGAAAAACTAATAAGCGACATGAAAAACTAAAACAAATTTTATATAAAACAAAAATAGTATTGAACCACGACACAAACATTTCTTTACCGTGGAATTCTTGAGTTGTAGCACACATTCATATAAAATATTAGTCTGCGAGCAGTGTTTCTAGATTAGTTTTCGTCTAGACTTTATAATATTTTTCTAAATTGACTAATAAATAGGAGTAGATTGAAGTAAGCACGACTTTCGTGTAACATTCAATTAAAATCAATGTAGAAGAGATAATTTATTCTAATAAATATTAGTTTTGTTTAAACATTGTTAATTTCAATTATCTAATGTACTTCTCCCGTATATGACTATCCATTAACAAGTTCAGTCAATAAAATAGGATGGATGGGAGATAATAAAGTGATGGATAGAATAAAGCAATGCTGTATCAACTATAAAAGGCAGATATAAATTGAAAACAGCATGATGTGTACTGATTAGATAGATGTTCGAGAAAAAAATTATGAAATTATTCGAAAAGCTGATATTTACAAATTACAGTATGATTGTCAAGGAAGTTATTGGCACTCTCGAAGGTGGTAGCAAGGAGCTATTGTACTCCGCGGGAGTGTGAATATAAGGCCATTTGCACTCCCAGCAAATTTTGTCAAGCAATTTGTCACGAGTGTCAAGTAGTCTCCCCAGCGAGTGGCGGTACCTTTCCAGACATTTGCTCGGAGTGCCTACATCTCGTTATTAACACTCGATAAGAAGCTATTGCACTCCCAGGGAGTGACAACGAGAAGCTAGCGCGGCACTCCAATGTAGTGTCAACAAGAAGTTATTGGTACCCCCTGGGAATGTCAGGAAGCAGCTATTGGCTCTCTCAGGGAGAGTCAACATGAAGCTATTGGCAGTCCCGAGAGCGTCAATACGGAGCGATTGGCACTTTCGAAAGTGTCAATACGGAGCTCATGTTCCCACTGAGTGTCTAACAGAAGCTATTGGCACTTCCTGGAAGTGTCAATATTGAGGTATTAGCACTCGCAGGAAATGGTTGGGACTGTCTGTCTGCAAGAAGTTATTGACATTCTCGAAAGTGCCAATAGGGAGCTATTGCACTCCCTGTGAGTGTGAATATGGGGCCATTGGCACTCCCAGCAAATTTTGTCAAGCAATTTGTCAGGAGTGTCAACAGCTCGTTATTGAAACTCTAGGGAGTGCCAACAGCTGCATGTTAACACTCCCTCGGAGTACAATAGCTCTTTATCGACACTGCTTGGGAGTGGCAATAGCTCCTTATTGACACCCTCGAGAGTGCCAATAGCGTTTTTTTTGTTGACACTCCCAAACGTGTGCCAAGAGCTCCGTACTGATACTGGCGGAGAGTGGTGGAGTTCATTCAGTCAAGAAAAAAAGATTCGGGTCAGGTTCGGATTAAATGAGTTTAACCCGATTATTCTCAAAGGACAGGTTTTTTTGTGTTAAAAATCTGCCTTCATACGTTGATGAAAGTATCTCAAATTGCAGCAGAAATAAAAATCATCAATAAAAATATCAAGTCACATTACATGTTGAGTGGTAGCATCGGCAAATAGCATTTTCAATATTTTTTCAATATTCGTTGGCGTTAGAGAATCTATTACACTTCGAAGAAACATTTCTAGTACACTTTTTCAAAGTTCTTAGCCCTGGTAGAGGTCATGGAGTGAGATCGTGAGAGAGTCACATTCTCTAGCTAGTCGAAGATATGAGATGCGATTAAACGACTATAACGCTCTGTTTATTCGTTTTTATCGCTCGTTTAAATGTGTATTAAAAATAAAATTAGAACTTAATTGATTCAGAACATATGCAGAATATTAAAAGATAACTGTAACGGTGGCTAAATTCTCTTTGCATTGTTTTTACTTTGATAGAAAAGAACGAAAATAAAATGCGTGCAATGATAAATTAAAAATGTCGCTTCATATTTGAATAAATGTGAAGAAAGAATGATGCTATTCCTTTGTCCAAAAGTACTTCATTTTTAACATTAATAAATGTACAATACCTAAAATGAATAGAAATATAATTAATATGAATGAAAACCTATTTATGCAGAAAAACACTTTATGCTGTGCTATATGAAAAAAAAGTTTACTTATTTTGTATAGATATTTAGATGGTGCATTACCATTTTGGCTGAAAACAAAAAACCAGTCATCGCATTCTCATCGCATATTCAATATTTATAACGATGACTATCGCCAATGGAGCGTCTAAAACTATCAAAAATAGTCATCTTGTCTGTTTTTGAGCTTAGACTTCACTACGCAAAAAGACAGGGTTTGAAATATGACTGTAGCTTCAAAATTCCAATTCAACAAGACTTGTAGACACATTGTTTACTCTGTTGTTAGTAGACAGCGTTTGTATCAATCAAAATTCCTTTTCAGACTTTTGGCGTTCTTAACATTAAATCTGTCGAAACAAGAGCTATCTTCTTTTTCTTTTATAGTTGAAAACATTTTATTATTATTATTACTATTTTATAAATAGAGACCATTACAACTGACACGACGATAATATATAAACAACAAAAACTGCTCTTCTAAGATAAACACAAACTGATGACATACACACATTAGACTAAAAACATTGTTTTTTTTGTTACACAAAAACTAAGTCTTTTTTTGTTTGCGTGGCTTTTTTGTGAAATATACACACACACGCAAATCCACATGCACACAATGGGATCATATGTTTCTTTTTTTGCTGAACGTTTGGTATTATTGTCGGTTGAAATTTGTTTACAAACCTTCTTTATGATAACTTGCTTTAGCCTCATGTGTTTTTTGCTCAACTTTGTCCCCGACAGCAGATGCTCCAGCGGATATACGTTCACCCATCGGTTTATCTGAATCTTTTGCCGTTTCTTTGTTGGTATCACCACTAAAACTGGCTACTGCTCCTGGAATAACACGAAAAAAACATGAATTAAATTACGAGAGTCAAGAACATTCTTTATATAAATACATTACCTTGAACTGTTTCAGCAACATAATTATATGCATCTTTTGCTTTTTCAACGACTGTATCAACAACACCATGAGCTAAACAAGTAAACAACACCTTTCAGAAAACGAAGATTAGTAGTTCTACTTCTGAGACGTTGAACAGCATACTGTAACTTCATCTAGGACTTTCCAGTTCGCTTATTCATAAGTCAACAGATCAACTCCCGTTCATTATGACACGCAGTTAAAATAAAAACGTCAATTTTTTTTTGATTTCTGAGAAAGCGTAACATACTGTAAAAGAAAGATCCAGCTTAATAGTAACTATTCAACGACAGACTTAATGATTAGTAAAGGGAAGTATGAGAGGTTTTCTTTTTACGGAACTAGACGATTCACATTAAAAGAAATGAGTGTGGTCGATATACGAAAGAAAAAAATATGCACTTTCATCACGGGCAGTTAATCTGTATAAACAGTATCTATAATCTTTAATCAAATAAGTGAAAATCGCTCAAAAAAAGATTTGAAAATTGGAAAAAATTAATAACTCTGTTAAACGCATACCTCCTTCTTTATGTGCTTCTTTCGATGCTTCATGACTTTTTTCTAAAAGATTAAAATATGTTTTTTGAGTACCAATGAGCATTGAGGAGTCCTATCTGCTTCTACTACATACCATTTACTTTATCTTTGACAGCATCAACACCTAAAAATTTTGTAGAAAGAAAAATGAAAATATATCGTCATTCATAAAACATTCCAAAAACTAAGTAAATTTACCATGAGATATTCGATCACCGGCTGATCGATCAGAATCTTTTGCAGCCGCTTTATTAGATTCATGCGATACTCCTGATGCTACTTCTTTTGCTTTGTCTCCAACTGCATTTACGGCATCTTTTGCTTTTTCTGTAACGGATGACATGATTATATTAGATTAATAGTATTATGCGCACGAGTAGAGTAGAATAGATTAGAACTAGGAGAGATAGAGAAGTCTGTAGACGTATTAACTTGACTTGATTCAATGATAAAATGATAGTGGAGAACGAAGAACGAAGAACGAGAACGATTACGTTCTGAATGATGAGACAGAAACAAGGCAGTCTGTAGAATAAAAACGCTTCGATGCATTTAGTTTAATTTATACTCGTGACAAAGGGAAAATATTAGTGTTTGATTGGAAGATTAAGAATATCAGAAGATGTAGCTTGAGAGTTCAAGAGGTCAAACTAGTTTGCGACCAGTTGAATAAAAATCGATTTTTTCTGGTTCGTTTTAAATGGAACAATTACTTTCAAGATATATTGAGCTTCTGATACAGTACATTTTCGTTCAGACAGGGCTGCACATGAAATTGAGCCCATTACTGCTGATGATATTAGGATCTATTAATTTATCTTTCCAAATTCTTTTCAAAGTAACCGGATTCATTATATACCTGTAAAATGGGATCTATGTAGTTTTCAACGAACAATCCAAGATGAATATCTAGAGGGAAGAATAAAACCGTCGCGTAACTGATACGATATTAAGAAATTTGTTCGCCAAAGTCAAAGTGCGCAAATAGATAATGATAATCCTTCAGTAAAATTATCCTAGAAAATGTTTTTCAATATCTATTTCAAACTTAAAAGTAACATGAGGAAAATTTAAGAGCTATCAAATGCCTACCGTGTAAAAGAATAATTATTTTCTTAACTTTACCTAATTATGTGCTGACAGCTTGCGGTTATCCAATAGTTTATTATCTGTCAGGTTGTCTACCTGACTCAGGCGCCCACCAGTATTTCACATCTTGTTCGGAAACAAGTTGAATAAAACGAATGGGGTCAAAACTAGGCATCCATAAATTTTATCCACAAATCTCTACTATCAACGTGAAATTTGGAAATTTACGATGACAGTAGAAATTTATGGATAAAACTTATGGATGCCTAGTTTTGACCAACGAATGGATTAGTTTGAAATTTCACAATACTGTATATGTCTCAGCACAAACACAAACTATTAGAGAAGACAGACATCAACTACGCACTCTAGTATGAGCCAAGATCTTACGAGAAGCTGATAATCCTCTTAGCGAAACTGTTGATCCTCTTGTTGGTATAATCTTTTATTGATTCCATTGTGCAAGCGAGGACCGAGGCCCTCATTATCCTCTTGTTAAATTAAATAAGTCTTGCCCTTTGTAAGAGATACTTACAGGATTTACTATTTCCAATTTGAATTTATCAACCATTTTTCGCAAAAAAGTTAAACTTATTACTCATCATAGAGTTGTTATCTTCACCTTTTCTTATCGAAAAGACTATTAATCACCGAATTTTATGTATGCGCGTTTTTCATACGAGGTGTTCTATCTCTACGCGATTTAGTTAAAGAATCGTTTTTACTGAGAAAAAATCCGATCACATAATAATTATAAACTAGTTACGTGGTAGTTATTCATTGAGTTCCAGAAAAAAAACAAAAAACAAGATGGAAGTTATTTGAATTTAGAAGGAGAATTAATTGTTACCATTAGCGATTAATAACAAAATTTCAAAATGCGATAATTGGTGTCGATTAGGGTCCTGCGACAGGGGGGTTGTCCCGATCCCGTCTGTCCCGTGAAAAAAATTTACGTGCTTTCTTGTCCCGTAATGTTTTGAAAATTTTTTTCTGTTGAGATAAACCATAACTGTTACAAGAGATGCTTACGTTTAAATCCAGACTATTTCTCCTCTCTAAGTTAATTTTTATTAGTCATTATAAAATTACGGTTTTGATTTGATAGTATTACAAGAATTAAATTGTTGAAGTTACAGGATAATTACAATCAAAAGACAAAACCTATGAGACAACGTTTTTCTCGGACTTGTCCGAGCCCGTGAAATTTTTTTCTTGCCCGAGCCTTGTTTTCTGAGCTCAAGCCCCTAAAGTTATTTTTTTGTCCCGTGGGATTCAGCGCTTCCCCACTACTATCGATCCTCAAAATCGATACGTATTGCTACCATTATCATCTAGATTGTTTCTCCCCATTCTCGAATACTCATCGGTAAATATAAACCTATGTTCTTTCCGCAGATAAATCATAACATGCTAAACGACCTGATTTAACATTTGCGAAAAATCGTATACTTTGAATATATAAACAACAAAAGTCCGGTATAATATAGCAGAATATGCATGTTTAAAACTTATCACGCTACAACTGGCAGCATACGAATTATTTCAGGTTGCTTCCTCTTGAAAGAAAAAAACTTTTTGGCCGATATACTTTTTTTGTCGTTTGTAAAATCTAAATCATTTTTATTTTATTTGTTCTTTGATACATCAGAAGCAGCATTCAGAACATAAAATGAACGAAACGTATTCATTAATCTTTCTTTTCTACCGATTAATGGTCAGATATTTATTTAAATCATCTTGCGTTGAGTGATTATAGACATACGTGGCGTTCTATAAACATGAACGTCGGTAAAATAAACGTTCAATTCTTTATGATAATCGTAAACGTTGTGAACGATACTTCAAACGAAATTTGATGCCATTTGTAGTATATTTATGTATTTACGATGATTTTTGTTCTAATTCCCAAAACAGCTCGTCTTTATTTACGCTGCTATTCATCATACTGTAATTTGTAAATATCAGCTTTTCGAATAATTTCATAATTTTTTTCTCGAACATCTATCTAATCAGTAGACATCATGCTGTTTTCAATTTATATCTGCCTTTTATAGTTGATACAGCATTGCTTTATTCTATCCATCACTTTATTATCTCCCATCCATCCTATTTTATTGACTGAACTTGTTAATGGATAGTCATATACGGGAGAAGTACATTAGATAATTGAAATTAACAATGTTTAAACAAAACTAATATTTATTAGAATAAATTATCTCTTCTACATTGATTTTAATTGAATGTTACACGAAAGTCGTGCTTACTTCAATCTACTCCTATTTATTAGTCAATTTAGAAAAATATTATAAAGTCTAGACGAAAACTAATCTAGAAACACTGCTCGCAGACTAATATTTTATCTCCCGGGAGTGCAATAGCTCCTTATTGACACGGCGTAGGAGTACCAATAGCTTCTTGTTAACACTACATGGGAGCGCCAATAACCTGTTATTCACAGTCCCTGAGAGTGCCAATACCTTCTTGTTGATACTACTGGTTGAGTCAATAGCTCCATACTGACACTTCCTATTGACGCCCTCGGGAGTGCCGATAGCTCGTTATTCACACTAGAGAGTGCCAAGAGCTTCTTCTTAACACTCCCTGGCTGTGCTGATAGCTTCTCGCTGTCACTCCCTGGGAGTGCAACAGTTCCTTATTGACGCTGCCTGGGAGTGCCAACAGCTTGTTGTTGACACTCTCAAATATTTGCTGGGTGAGACAATAGCAGAATACTGACACTACTTAGCAGTGCCAACAGTCCTTACTGACACTACCTGGGAGTGCTAATAACTTCTGGTTATATTGTTATAGCTGCTTACTGACACTCTCGGGAGTGGGAATAGCTTCTTGCTGAAGCGAACAAACATTTGCTGACAGTACCAATAGCTGCTTATTGACACTCCCTGAGACTGCCAATACCTTCTTGTTTACACTCTCAAAGATGTGCTGGGAGTGCGTGACACTCGGGGTGGCAACAGCTTCTTCCTGACACATCCAAAGCTTGCCCGTTATTCGCCCGCTTCAGCGACTTATTGACACTCCTTGAGAGTGCCAAGAGGCCGTTACTGACACTCCATGAGAGTACCGATAGCTTCTTGTTCACACTCCATCGAAGAACAATAGCTACCTACTGACACTCTCGTGAGTACGAATAACTTCTTCTTGACACTTCCAAACAGCGATGCCAATAGCTTCTTATGTCCCCTCCCGGCTGTGCCAGTAGCTTCTTTTTGACAGTCCCAAAACATTTGCTAGGAGTGCAATAGCTGCCTGTTGACAATTCGAGGGAGTGCTAACAGCGTCTTGTTGACACTAACTGCTAGTGCCCGTTATTGACACTCCCAGGAGTGCAATTAGCTTCTTCTTGAGGGTTCCAAACATTTGCTGGGAGTGCCAACAGTTCGTTATTGACACTGCATGACAATACCTTGACACCTGGGCATGACAATACCTTCCTGTTGACACTGCCTGGGACAGTCAATAGCCCGTTATTCACACTCTCTGAGAGCGCCAATAGCTACTTGTTGACACTCCTGGAGATTTTCTGTGGAGGGCAGTAGCTCCTTATTGACACTGTCGGGAGTGCTAATAGCTTCCTGTTGACACTCCGAAACATTTGCGGGCTATTGGCACTGCAAGGTACTGTCAGTACTCAGGAAATATTTGGGAGTGTCAACAAGAAGCTATTGTCACTCCCAGGTGGTGTCAGTTTGGAGCTATTAGGTCAACCAGGAAATGTTTGACTGTCAGTGAGCAGCTACTGCCGCTGCCAGCAATTGTTTGGAACCCTCAAGAAGAAGCTTTTGGCACTCCTGGAAATGTCAATAACGAGCTATTGGCGATACGGCGAACAAAACTATCTATTGCTCAACTGTTATGTACACTGCGAATATCCACGTTTTTCGAATATTACTTTTAAAAATGACCTTTTCGGCATAGTCCACGATAGTATTTCTATTGCTTTTACCAGGAAAGATATCAAAAGAAAGCTCTTTCAAAACTCTACAAAATGGCTGGTAATTCATTTCGAGTTACAAGTACAAACGCTCATTTTTTCGGATGTTACTACTACAAAGTGATATTTCCGGCGTCGAGTATTTTAATTTCTCGACAATAGCTATGTTTTGGTCATTGATAGTGAGGTTTACGGATGTTTCTGCATTTTTGGCTTGATTGAGGCGCATTTGTACAGTCTTTTTAATACTGATTTCAAGTCCAACTTTTCCAGCATTGATTCTGAACGCATCCAGTTGTTCTTGTCCTCTGGTTGCGTTGTTTTCAAGTAGAGCAATGTCGTCCGCAAAGGCAAGATCATTGATTTTGCGTTCCCATGTGCGTGATGTATCCAAAATCGCCTACGGATAGTTTTGAGACGTAATCTATTACGATGATAAATAGAAATAGTGTTGTAGACCATTTGGCATATAATATGTAGTTGGTCGACTACAAATTCTCTACCGTTTTGTAGACTTCTGCTGTCACAGCGTAATCAGGTCCAGGCGATTTGTTTGTTTTTAGGACCCTGATTGGTTTAGCCACTTCCTCACGTGGTGTTTGTGTTGTTACAATCGCGCGGTTGTCAGTCGTCGGTGTCGGATGGCTTAACTTGTCCTCGTTTGCATTATTGTTGGTTAGCAGCTTGCTGAAGTATGTGCTTCATTCTCTGAGAATGTCATTTTTGGAGTTTGGCAAGGATCCATCTAGCGTCCGGACTTTAATGACAGGTTTTTCCGATTTGCCGCTGAGTTGATTAACGATTTGCCATGTCGTACGGTGTTGGTGCCTTTTATCAGCATCTTCGAGTGCTTTGAGTTGAGCTTCTTGGTACTTGTCCTGATCTTGCTCGAAGGACTTGGATACTTCTGTTTGTAATTGTGTCCACTTGCTTTTGTCAGTATCACGTTGAGACTTTTTGAATTTCAACTTTGCCTTTGAGCTTCTAGTAGCCTGAGTGTTGCTGAGCTCACCCAGTTCGGTTGCTTCTTATTCGACATTTTGCCTAGAACCGCTTCACTCGTAACTTTCAGTGCACTATCAAGTGCGTCAGTCCTTTTCTGGATTCTTTCCGTGACGCTGTCTTCCGACACTTCATCGAGGAGTGCGTTGAATTGATTGTTAAGTTGTATTAAAATTAATTAACTTAACGCGTTAAAATTAATTAACTTAACGCGTTAAAAATTAAATTCATTGCGCGTTTCCAGGCATAACAGTTTCCCGTTGTTAAATTTGCATCTGGTACTTGTTGAGTTTTTGTTCGCTCTCAATGTCAGACGGAAATTTGCGCTTACCACTCTGTGATCGGATCCAATATCAATGGTGCTGTACGCTCGACAATTTTTTATGGATTTGCACCATTTTTTGTTGATCAGAAAATGATCGAGTTGAAACTTGTTCCCTTTTGGATCTGTGTAGGTGTACAGTCTTGTTGTTCTGTTTGCAAAGTGTGAGTGCGGTGGTATAAGATTGGTGACTTCTCATAAATCGATCATGCTTTGGCCGTTGTCGTTCATTTCGTCGTGGTAACAATAGTTGCCAACCATCTACAAAGTTGATTTCCCATTTCTCTGTTGTTCTGAGTCTAGGTCCTGGATGGAGATGATGCGGATGCGGTTTTGTTTGCAACCAGCTATGATCTGTTGAATTTTGTGCTTGATTTCCCAGCCTGTATTTGATTTGGTGGTGTCGGCGACGCTGTCGTTAAGAGTTCCACGTTGAATGTTGCAATGATGAGTTCTCTCTTGATGTTCAGTTTGTTATGTTTTGCACTCCGAGCATACTTGTCGGTGGGGGTGGTACTTTTCTAGTTACTCGATAACTTCACTAGTCAGTTACTTCGTTACTTCTAACGAACTTAGTTACTTCTTTATTAGTAACCAGTAACTCATTTCGTTACTTTCTAGAGGTGTAACGAAGTAACTCAATAACGGAATAAGTTACTCGTTACTAGTAAGGAAGCAACTAAGTTCGTTACTAGTTACAAGTAACGTAAAGGTAAAGTGGTAAAGCCCTTTTTATCGTGGGCGGCGACCGAGCCAGTATCCTTGGATATTATTGGCTGTGACTTCATTTTGCATTCTTTGTAAGTTTCCTTGCGGGCAGGTAAGACAATACTGGAATACAAGCCCTCATGTATAGAATAAGTAGTGCCCTGGACCTTGCTGTTGGGTTCATCGGCCTTTATGGCAACATTTCTTTTGTCAAAGGGTCTACACATCCCTTCTGGTGTGCGCTGATCCGCCCATAAATGGCCGCTGGCACTCCGTATTGACAGAGAGGAGAGTGCAATAGCTCCTTATTGACATTCTCGGGAGTGTCTATAGCTCCTTATTGGCAGTCTGGGGTGTGCCAATAGCTCCTTATTGACGCTCCCGGAAGTGCTAATAGCTTCTTGTTGACACTCGCTCACAGTACCAATAGCTCGTTATTGTGATAGTAGTGCCTGTGGTTTTTTTGGGGAGAAAAGCAGCGTGGAGTCTCGCACAATTTATGGGTGCTGCCGTCGGAAGTCCCGTTTTGTGACGAATTCCCGCAGAACTTCCGAGAGTCCCGACTAGAGATTGTGTCTATGCGTTGCTATTTGCGGCACAAAATGTCCTAGATACCGATACATTTTGTACAACATTACTAAGGATAGATTTTGTGTCGGAAGTTGCGACGCATGGACGCATTCCAACATAGAAGAAAATTGGGCCATTTCATTTATAAAGAAATATGTCGTTAAAGGACGCATTATTTTTGACAGTGCAGTATTTTATGTTAATGTTAACTATTCATAAGCAGATGAACACATGAGTTAAGTTTCATCCATATAGGAACACCCTACCTGAGCCGATGGGCCGGTGTAGAGAAACGAAGTATGTAGTCGTGATGTCCATGGTCTAAAACCTTTGTACATTTAATAGGAATGCCATCTTTTTCCATCATTTTTATATCTGACATACAGATATCTGCATGCGACATCAAGAAAAAGATAAAGATACGTTAAACGGTAGAGCTCTAATAGTTGTGAAGAAGAGCAGTGTGACCTTTAAAAGATGTGAAAACAGAAAAAAGCATGCAGATATAAAAGTAATATGAAAAGTTGAACGATAGATGTTTTCCAATCTTTTAAAGGTTACATTCCTCTTCTTCACAACTATTCTATATCGAAGAAAAAATAAGAATAAGAAAACGAAAGAGAAATTGACATGCGCAAATCTCGCGTGCGTTCACTATACTAAGAAGAAAAAGACTAAACATCACAACAATCGATATCCTTATATCAGTAGTGAACCGAATATATTCTTATTCTTATTTTAACTTAAAGAAGTTGTATGATAACTTACAGAGAGCGAGTTGAGAGATGTGAATGGAATTGCGTGTACTTATTTTGAGTTCAAATTCTTACTAATTTTGAGAAGTGTTACATCATGTTCCCGAAGAGAAAATCGGGTAAAACATGGTGAAATCAGAATCCTAACTGTCATAAGAAAATTCATTCAAGATGAGTTTTCTTGCCCATAAAAGTTGTGTTTTTTTAGTGTTCTTGTGGCAAGAAACGAGCTTTCATGGGATGAAAAAATAAGGTTTCTACCTTTTTGTATTCTTTAAATGTGTTTTTTTTTCCTCCGCTTAAAAGGAGAGAGAAAAAAGTTTTTGTCATGATCTGACTGATGATGTCCTTTGAAAACACCGAAACTAGTATCAAGTGGAACGGTTAACTTCACTATGGATAAGCTGGTGTAGTCTTATTATCGATTTTGAAATTCTTCACGATTGAAAATGATTCAAAAAGTCACGCCACGTATTTTGTCTTCCTAATTTTCGTTCATTTTTCAATGAAGAAGAGCATGAAAACATGTACTCTTTTCAAAACAAAATAGAGTACTTCGGGGTAATTAGAGACACTCTTTGAAATTTTCATCCTTTTTCTGCTATTTCTTGGCCGTTTTTGATCGGAAAAACTTGCTATTGAACACGGTGGTAGACCGAACATTTTTCTACACGCTCATGTAAAAATCTATTGAAAATCTCCGGCCAATTTTGAGCCTGATCCAAAATGCAAAGAGCTCCATCAAAGTGTCTCTAATTACCCCGTACAGGGTAATTGGAGACACTTCGCTTGTACGCTTGGGGTAAATAGAGACACTCCATTCAAATACATGGAGTTTTAATGTGCAGTTGCTGATGAATTAAGCTTAGGAGATAATTAGTTCAAAAATACCTCATTTTATAGCCCGGACCTTCCTCTCTCTACCATATAGGTTTGAGCTCATTATCATTTAAACTCATTAAGCTAATTAGCATATAATCAACAGCACCAGAAATTTTTTTCTTTTTTTTTTATGCTTTGGGGTAATTAGAGACACTCGTGTAATTTCTTCGGGGTAAATAGAGACACTCCACTGAAATACACGGGATGCTCAGAGACAAACGTCTACCGTCTCTCGGAAGCCGAAGTTGGTATTAGACCAAGTGACAAAGTTCTTCAGACTGCTGAAATCTATCACATATGTGAAAATTAGCTCATTATTCCAGTGGATAAGCTATCATATTGGCTTCACACTATAGAGAATATTAATTTGAATATATTTTATGCGCTTAATTAATTTTAAAATTATTTATGACACCTTGAGACTAAAAACTTTGATAAAATCTTCTGTCTATGGCATACACAAGCATCTCCTCTATCGAATGCAAAAACAATCATCTGAAAATCATGAGAACTACGCAAGATAACACCAAATTATCCGATATATGTCTCCTCTGAAGGACACATACAATATGATATCAATAGAAAATTGTCAGCAGATCACAAAGCAAGGATATTGCACCTTAGTATTATTCATATACAACAGTAATTAAAACAAGTTTAGTGTTAAGAACGAAAAACCAACTATAGAGTATGCTAATTAACTATTTCAATATTGTTTGTTGATAATAAATTGATAAACGATAAGATTAATTGTATTAATTCAACAATCATAGTTTTAAAATTTTTATTTAAAACAAAGCTTTCAATTACAACTGTAATCATCGTCAGCTACATTTAGATGAAAAACACACAGCGTATATATACATGTTCATTTTTCTTTTCCTTTCTGTTCTCTTCCCTTCTTTGAATGTAGTAGATACTTCTAAGAATATTCGCTACTATTCTGTTATCGAAGGCAGTGAACGTTTCCACGAAATATATACTTGAGGGGAGAACAGAAAAATACAGAACGAAAAAGAAAAAGGTGATTATGTGTATCTGGACCAGTCAATCAAATACCAATAGTTCATGACTTATCTTATTATACGCAGCAGGCTGATGTTTTATTGTGATTAGCGTTTCTTTAATTTCCCTTTTTTTCCAGTTTGTTTCACCTGCCAAGATAATAGGTTGATCGAATCGAAAACCCTTCTTGTGTATTTTTGGTTGGCAAAAATACACAAGAAAGGTTTACCACTGAGGCCAATAATTTCAACAACAAACACATACAACTATCAACTGGCCAAATATTTAAGTGGCTTAATCGAAGCAGCACGATCAACACCACGAACGTTTATAAAAGATTCATTTGATTTTGCCAAACTGATACAACAAAGGAAGGCAAGCATGAATGAATTAATGTTTAGTTTGGATGTTGAATCACTATTCACCAATGTACCAGTAAATGAAGCTATTGATTTAGCTATTAACATCATCATGAAAAAGAAAGGAGAAAATGCCAAGTTCACAAACCTAGATGTAAAAGATCTAAAACATCTATTTGAACTGGCTATAACTAATGTTCCATTTAGATTTCTAGATCAATTATATATACAGAGAGATGGTGTCTCTATGGGAAGCCCGCTGGCTCCTATATTAGCAGACATCTTCATGGAACACATCGAGAATAAAGTTGAACAATATCCGGAACAACATAGAATTAAGATCATGAAACGGTATGTTGACGATATGTTCTTCATGATTGATGGAAAGCATGATGATATCGAAAAGTTGTTGGAATGGTTTAATCAATTACACTATAAAATAAAATTCACATGTGAAAATGAGAAAAACTATGAATTACCATTTCTTGATGTCAAAATTATACGACAACGAACGAGGTATGAAACAACAATATACAAAAAACCAACGCACACCGGTTTATACCTCCACTGGATGAGTTGTCAAGCACGGAAATACAAAATTGGTCTAATTAAAACACTGACCATACGTGCAATCAGAATATGTTCATCAACAAAATTACTAAAAGAAGAATGCGAACATATTGAACAATGTTTAATAAGAAATGGATATCCAAAAAATTTAATTAAAAGAAAAATTAAATATACGATTGAACAAAAACAGCAGCAAGTTCCAACGAAAATAAAGAGCAAGCTCTTTTATACATCGCTGACGTACTTTGGTAATGAAACTAAAGTCATGGCAGATAAACTAAAGAAG